GAGAGAGAGAGAGAGAGAGAGAGAGAGAGAGAGAGAGAGAGAGAGAGAGAGAGAGAGAGAGGTTATGATCCAGACACGTGAAAATTCGAGAGTTGCAGGTGGGCAACTCATCGAGGTTTGCCGTGAGTCCTTTACGAGAGTTGCTGGAGCAAGGCCAGACTCGTGGAAACTCAAGAGTCATGAGTAGAACAGCGAGACTAAGACCCGGCAAGGAATCAAACTTGGTCCTGCGGCAAATGCAGCACAACGGAATAGATGAGAAACAGAAAAAAAAAAAAAAAAAAGTATGAAGACAGACAGTAACAGGCCATTCGAAAAAAGGAAAAAAAAAGAAAGAAAACTTCAAAAAAGGACAAAGGGCAAAGGAAAAAAAAAAAACTTAAAAAACGGATCGTCAGAACCACTGACAGCATGACTGACACGATCCGCCCTTCCATGTCGCCCCCGCTCAAGGAGAGCCGGTTCAATAGTGATATGCATCAAAGGCTGCAACGGCCGATTGTCAAACACTACGGAAAGGTCGACATGCCGGGCATATTCAACATTGGCATGCACACATTAAATTTTGGTTGTTATAGTCACCTTCTGCGCAGGTCGCCACCGCAAAAATCAAGATCCAAAAGGCCAAAACAGCAGGAAAAAAGCCAACAGCGCCCACTAAACTTTGGTATATTATGTAGATAGATGTAGATATATATGTACATTATGATACATCATACATGTATATGTTGTTATAGTATAGCAAACTAATCAGTCCTTAATGACTCCATATGTTTAGTGTCATCACATAGGAAGACAAACAAACTTTAGCAGATTCTTCCAGAAGGCCTCGCAGGGACTTACGGATATCAACAGCAATCATCGAAGGCCAATCATCGAAGGCCAACCATCGAAGGCCAACCCGTTAAAAAATGTTTTTGATTACCTATGCAGCTAAACTCGTCAACAAAAGTAAAATCTCGGGACTGATCCTTGCAGTAGAAAGGATTGACAGCAGCCAAAGTGAAGCCGTTTATCTTATCATAGATTGCTCGCTGCTCTGGATCACTCAACACCTGCAGGAAAGCAGAACATGGAAAATGGGGAAACAAGTTAGCGCAGCTTGCTGCTGACCAACCAGATAAACGGAAATCAGTTCAAAAACTTCAAATATTTCTGACTGGTACACAACAGGCTTTTGCTGTTGACCAATGAGGCACATTCAGAA